AAAATCTAGATTGAATTCATTTGGTCAAAAGATCTTAATTCAGTATCCAAATCAAAGACTTTTGATTTGATCTAGACAAACAAGCAAAAATCTAGCCAGGAATCATGCCCAGATAGAACCAACCCAGGCGTAAATCTTGGGATTGGATTCTGTTCGTTTTTTAAAATTCGTCCTAAGGGAACCTATAAATTGGAATGATCATTACAAAACAAGACACGGTGGATTTGGTGAAAAAAAGATTAGTGCTTGAAAAATCTAAAAATAGGTTCCTAGGCAGTAGGGGCTTCGAAAATTTTGGTTTTTAAGATTTTAGGATTGATTTTAAGTTTTGGGTTCGATTTTAGGTTGCTAAGGGTTAAGATTAGGTTCTCGAAGATTTTGGATCTAGAAAAATTTAAGGAAAATCTATGATTTTTTTGAAAAATCTAAGTTTTTCTAGAAAATATGAATTTTTTTATGAATGTTTGAATTTACCGATGAATTTTCTGGCAGGAATTTGAATTTTTTGGCCAGATTACAGCTAGATTTCCAAAAACTGGCAGTAAATCCAATTTTTGATTAAATGTCTGAAGAATTTTTAAAGAGAAAAAAGAGAGTTTTTGGCCTAGAGAGAGAAGAGGCAGAAAGCTTCTGAGGCTTGAAACACAGAAGGTGGCTTATATAGTAGCCCAGAACGACATTGTTTTGGACAACCAAGGATTCGAGCATTAACGCGTTGACTCGCGCTCTGACTCGACCCAATCACAAGGTTTCTTTTTCCATTTTATTTTTTGATTTTATTTTTTTAACTCACTTTATTTTTAATTTTTTATTATTTTTTGGTTTTATTTTTAAGAGATTTTATTTTTGCTATTTTATTTTTAAGAGATCTTAAGGTGAAAAAATTATCTGAAATTGTTATCAAATTATTAGGACAATTTTAAGACTAATTTTTAATATAAAATAATTTGGTAAATTACAAATATGATCAAGGCTTGGATAATCTGAAATCAAACTGGTACCATCCTTTGGGTAGGCACTGTAAGGGTGCTATAACCTTCCCCATGTGTAACCGTACTCCCGAACCTAAATTCTGATTTTAAATATTAGAATCTACTAGTTAAAGATACCTAAGTCGATCTTGGGACTCCTCTTTAGATAGGACAGATTCAATCAAATGGTCAATTGCACAAAGACAAAAAAGATTGGTGGCAACTCCTCTAATCCATGGCTAGTTATAGTCTATGGATCTATACATTATGACAAAGTGTTTTTTTTTTTTCACTTTAAAACTTTCAGGCTAATCCATATAAATGTCCTCTTATAAGTCACCATGCAAACATGTAGTCTTAACATCAAGTTGCTCAAGCTCAAGATTCAAACTAGCTATTAATCCTAATACTACTCAAATAGAACTCATCTTCATAACTGGAGAAAAGATCTCATCCAAATCAATGCTGGGTTTCTAAGAAAAATCTTTTATCACCAATCGAGCTTTGTACCTCACTAGTTTATCACCATCTTTTTTCAACTTGAACATCTATTTATTCTTCAATGGCCCCCTCCCTTTCAGAAGTTTAACAATATCATATGTACCATTTTTTTGCAATGACTCTATTTCTTTTTTCATTGCTTTTAACCAGTGTTCTCCATCTGGAGTAATCTGTACATTTTGGAAGTTCTCTATCTCCCCTTATTGGTAACTAAAATAAAATTTAAACTTGGATACCTGGTAGATAGCCTATGCTCTTTGGTAAATCTTCTAGATTGAGACTTTACATTACCTAATTCCTAAGATAGCTCCCCTTGCTCAATACTTTTTAGTGGAGAAAATTGTTTACCCTGCTTAACACTCTCAAGTAGAAAAGATTACTCCTCCCTACTTATAACTGATTGCATCTGTCTTATCACTAACTGTGGCTGGCTCATTAGTATCCTTAAGTTTTGTCTCTTGCTCATGTCCATCATCTATGGCTTTTTTTGATGAAATCCCTATATATGTTGAAACATTACACTCAATAGTAATCCGTGTAGTCTTCTCATTTTTCTCAAAGTCTACTATGGTTTTTTTTCATGGAAGACCACGTTTCTATTTCTAACTATCTTTCTTTTTCCTGGATCCTATACCTTGTAGCCAAATTTTTCATCACTATATCCTATAAACACATACTGTATAGCTTTACTGTCAAGCTTTGACTTTCACTCCTTTGGCATATACATGAATGTTTTACATCCAAAAACTTTTAAGTGAGAGTATAAAGCATATTTTCTTATCCACACTATTTCTGGAATGTCAAAGCCTAAAAGAATTAATGGTGATCTATTAAGCAAATAATAAGCTATGTTGGCTGCTTCAACCTAGAATGGCTTTCGTAATTTTGCCATCCTCAAATTACATTTGACTTTTTTCACAATGGTTTGGTTTATCCTTTCAGCTATACCATTATACTGTGGTGTTCCAAGTTTTGTTATTTCATGCTTGATCCCATGCTTTGAATAATATTTTTCAAAGTCTTTGAATGTGTATTCTCTACCATTATCAATCTAAATACATTTTAAGGATAACCCTATCATCTTTTACACCATAGCATGAAATTTTTGAAAATACTACAGTATCTAACTTTTGTTTTTTAACATATACACTTAAGTCTTATGTGAAGTATCATCAATAAAAGTACCAAAATACCTTTTACCACATAATGACTCACCCCCAATAGGACCACATATATTAGAGTGAATAAACTGCAATATGTTTTCTTTTCTTTAATAGCACTTGCAAAAAGAAACTTTACGATACTTGCCAAACAAACAATGATCACATGAATCAAAAGGCATAACTTTGATCAAGGTAATGAGAGATTGCCTTGCCAAAACCTGTAACCCCTTCTCCCTCATGTGTGCTAGCCTCTTGTGCCACATATTTCCTAAAACACCATTATCAACTACATTTATCTGGTTGTCGTTCAATTGCATCCATGTCTTATACATTGTACAGCATAGTTTTTCTCTTGCAACTATCATAGATCTTTTGAGAAGTTTTCACTATCCATTCTTTTGTTGACTCTCATATCCTTACTTATTAAAGATAGTAATAGCAAACAAGGTCATTCTCATATCTAGAATGTGTTTGACATCCTTCAAAGTCAACATGTAGTTCGTACTAGTTTGTATAATAATATCATCGATCCTAATAATTTGTGACACACTTTTAGTTCCCATCTTGGTGTAACTAAAATCTCTTGTTTTTTAAGTTGTAAACAACTTTCTCTTAGGAATACAATGATATGCCCCTCTTGTGTCAATTATCCACTCAATATTGGGATCACTAACATGATTACAATCACCATGTGTACAAATCAAAGTAACTGAATCACTATCTGAATTCACTATTACAACATTGCCATCATCTAAACTCTTGCCTTTCTTATAGTTCTACTCTTGCTTCAAGATTTTACAGTATTGCTTTATATGACCTACTTTATCATAATGGAAACACTTCACTTTGTCTTTGAACTTTAATCTATGTTTAGACTTACTATGGCCTTTTAAGTTCTAACCTCTGTTGATGTTTTTACCCCTGTTCTTTGTGACAAAAGCTTGATTCATAGAGTCTAAATCTTTTTGCCTTGCTTCTTTATTAAGCATACTGTCTTTTATCATCTCCAATGTCACCTTATAATCAGGAGCTGAATTAAGAATAGTCACAAATAGAGATTTCAACTGTCTGGCAATGAACCCAAAAGAAATAACGCCTTCATTTCATCATCCATCTTAAGCTCTATAATAGTCATTCAATTAAATATATCTTGAAAATCACTCAAGTGCTTTGTAATCGATTGTCTATCCCTATACTGTAAAGTTGCAAGCTTCTTAACAAGCATAACTTTATTCATGCCTATTTTTCTTTCATACAATGCTGTCAATTTTTCTCAAATGTGGGCATCTGTCTCTTGTACTACATGATAGAACACGCTGATATCAAGCCTTTTTCTGATTGTGGCTAGCATCTTTTTGCCTAATTTCTTTCAACTTTTATCTTTTATATCTGCTAGTTTAGTTGAATCACCCAATATCGGCTCATATAAATCTTCGAAGCAGAAATGATCTTCCATCATATGCTTTCAAATTGAATAATTTGATACTGTCAATTTTATCATGGAACTTGTATCACCCTCTATAATCTCAAATAGAATTTACTTATATCATGGGTTGCTTCTGTATTGATGTCTCAAAATAACTCTCGCTTTAATACCACTTGTTGGGCCTGAAGCGATAAACACAATAACGTAGAAGTAATATATCGCAATAAACCCATAGCAGTAGACAACAATCAACAATCAATGACGTAGGAAAAATAAAGCACACCAAAATTTACGTGAAAAACCCTCGAGTGTAGAGGAAAAAACCCACAGACTACCATGAAAATCTCTACTAATAAATAACGAATATACAAAATTTTCTTCTAGTTAAAACTAGAGCTAATCAATAACTAGAGAAACAATTAGAGAAATCTTACCAAATAAGTGACTCAACAAATACACCCTAAATTTGTTTCTAGAGAGTTTTAAACTTGATCTTCATCATTCAAAATGTAGAATTCTGAATCATAAACCAGCTAACAAAAATTCAACTCAATCGGATCACGAATCAACTTTCATTTAACCAACTCTCCCTTCTCCCTTTTAGGGTAGCTTAAAACACAAGGCTCATGACCTTTAAATAGTCAAAACCATAGGAACGGCCTGAACCCCACATTTCTAACGGTATTCACTATAGAAAGCATTGCTCAATAATGATAAAAAAACCCAGGAAAAAGGCCAACCCCAAATAGATGCTTCCACTTAAGCAATTTCTACGCACATGACATTCAAAGTCAAAAAAATTGAAGCAATTGACGGGATATACAGTTGCATAATATCAGAGTTTCAAAATTTCTTATATTGCACACTAGTTCTTGTTGATGAACCCAAGTACTCTCAAATAGCAATCAATCTCATCAATTAACAAATTGATTCGGGTTGATGGAGCTACCGAATAAGCATTTGATAGTGTTCAGCTCGTTTTTCCTCGTTTACGTTGAAGTTATAATTCTTCTCTCATGCTTCAACCTACAAGGTCTTTACTCGGTTGGTTTAGCAGTTCCTTTAGTTAGTGGAAATAACACAGATCAACAAGCTTTACTCGAGTTCAAAGCCAAGATAACTGGTGATCAGCTCAGCGTTATGCATTCCTGGAATAGTTCCATCCATTTCTGCCAATGGCATGGTGTTGCATGCGGTCGCAGACATCAAAGAGTCACCAGGTTGGAATTGCAATTCCAGAAACTCACGGGATCTCTATCACCAAACGTTGGAAATTTGAGCTTTCTCAGGGTGTTGAATCTTGCAGGCAACAGCTTCAACAACGAAATTCCTCAAGAAATTGGACATTTAAGAAGGTTGGAAATATTTCAATTGCCCAATAACTCCATCAATGGTAAAATTCCTTCCAATTTATCTGGTTGTTCTAAGCTTAGAGGTTTTGATATTAGAAGCAACCAACTGACTGGAGAAATACCGGGTTTGCTTGGTCTCTTGTCAAAACTAAAATATTTAAGTTTTTTCAATAACAGTTTAACAGGGAGTATCCCACCTTCCTTGGGGAACATATCGTCTTTGGAGACACTTGTTTTGGGTAAGAATGAACTGAATGGGGTTATTCCTGGATCTCTTGGGCAACTGACAAATCTTTCATTTTTTTCTATAGCAGAAAATGCAATTTCTGGAATTGTTCCTGTCTCAATTTTCAATCTCTCTAAGATTACAAATTTGATATTGGCGTTAACAAGATTCAAGGTACTCTTCCTTCTGACTTGGGAATCACTATGCCGTATATTGAATTCTTTCCCATCGCGCTAAACCAAATCAGTGGACAATGCCCGGTTTCAATATCCAATGCCTCAAATCTTGAGGTTCTTCAAGTTTCATTAAACCAACTTAATGGAAACTTGCCTTCATTTGAACAGCTGGATAAACTATCACGATTGCGCATATTGAAAAACCATTTTGGAGATGGGGGAGTAAGAGACTTAAACTTTCTCTGTTCTTTATCCAATACTGCCAAACTAGAAGAACTAGACATGGGCCAAAATAATTTTGGAGGGGTATTACCCGAGTGCATTAGCAATTTGTCTAGCACCATTTTGTTTCTAGCAATACTACAGAACCAAATATTGGGAAGAATTCCAGCAGGGATTGAAAATCTCATCAATTTGGAGTTACTAGATGCATCAAATAATCTGCTATCAGGTTCTATTCCCCTTGTTATTGGAAGGCTTCAGAAGCTAAAGAAATTTTATGCTCATTATAATCATTTTCTCTCTGGGCCTATTCCCCCTTCTATTGGAAATTTGACAATGGTAACCCAACTTTATTTAAATAGTAACAATCTTCAGGGCAACATTCCTCGAAGTCTAGTTAACTGCAAAAGTTTGGTTGCATTGGATCTTTCTCATAACAATCTAAATGGATCTATACCCCCTGAAGTAATTGGACTCTCATCATTGTCCATTCTTATAAACTTATCATCCAATCATTTGACCGGTATGCTTCTTGTTGAAGTAGGAAATCTGAAAAATCTGAGTAGTTTGGATGTTTCTCATAATAGGTTATCCGGTTTGCTTCCAAACAATCTTGGTAGCCGTGTAAGGCTGGAGTACCTGTTCTTGGATGGCAATTTGTTCGAAGGGCCCATTCCTTCATCTTTGAGTTCATTGAGAGGTCTTATGGCATTAGACATATCTGACAATAATCTTACTGGTGAGATTCCAGAATTTCTTGTGAGCTTTGGGTCATTACAGTATTTAAATTATCTTTCAATGATTTTGAGGGTATGATACCAAATGAAGGAGTCATTAACAATGCCACTGCTACATTCGTTAAGGGAAATAGCAAGCTTTGTGGAGGCATCCCCGAGTTACACTTGTCCAGATGCAACTGGAAGGCATCCATCAGAAGATCAAACACTTCCCTCAAATTAAAAATTGCGATTGCTTTTGTAATTTTGGGACTTTGGTATTCTCATTTCTCCTCATTTTGTGGTTCAGAAAGAAGAAAGAGCAGCCAACAGCAACTTGTGCAGAAAATTCACTTTTACAGTTATCATATCAAAACATCGTAAGGGCTACTGATGGATTCTCCTTGCAAAATTTGGCTGGTTCAGGTAACTTCGGTTCTGTATACAAAGGAATTCTTGAAGAGAGTGGAGTAGTTATTGCTGTTAAGGTGCTTAATCTTCTTACTCATGGAGCTTCCAGAAGCTTCTTAGCTGAATGTGAGGCCTTGAGGAACATTAGACATCGGAATCTTGTCAAGGTATTAACAAAAATTTCAGGTGTTGATTATCAAGGCAATGATTTTAAAGCATTGGCTTATCAATTCATGGTAAACGGAAGCTTGGAGGATTGGCTGCATCCATCTGTTGGCATGAATGAACAGGAGACAGTGAGAAACCTGAATTTCTTCCAAAGGGTAACTGTGGCAGTAGATGTTGCTCACGCACTGGAGTATCTGCACCACCATTGCGATACTCCAATTATTCATTGTGACCTCAAGCCAAGCAATATTCTACTTGATGAGGAAAGGGTTGGCCATATAAGTGACTTTGGCTTAGCAAAAATCCTTTCTGCTGACAGGCTTAACAATTCTATTACTCAGTCAAGCTCCCTCGGAATAAGAGGAACTATTGGTTATGCTCCACCAGGTAAGTAAATTTTATTCATTTCTTCCATTTTAATACTTTTCTCTTAGCACAACATGATTCAAAATCAAAACATATAATGTGGAAGTAGTTTTTGGTTAACAAAAAATTACTACATTACCTAAGTTAGAATGTAATTTTACATGTTTAAAGCTTGGATGTCAGAGGCTATATCTTTATATTTTTCAAAGGATCTCCTCTGCAATTATTGCTATAGTTTATATATTTGTGATGAGTTAATTGTAGAATATGGCATGGGAAGCGAGTTGTCAACAAAAGGTGATGTGTATAGCTTTGGCAACCTCTTGCTAGAGATGTTTACGGGAAAAAGGCCGACTAATGAAATGTTCAAAGAAGGTTTCAGCCTTCACAACTTTGTTGTGGCAGCTTTGCCTGAACAACTGATTGAGATTACAGATCCCATTCTTCTTGAAGAGCAAGTCAAACAAGGAAATGACAGACATCTTCAATTCTTGAATTCAATATTGGAAATAGGAGTTATTTGTTCTGCTGAATCACCAAGCGCGCGGATGGACATGAGTGATGCCGTTACCAAGCTTTGTTCTATTAGAGACAAGCTTCACCCTACTCGATTGCATCGTGAGGGCCAAACTTTACATGCTGCTCAATCAGCAGGTAAACAATTTGCATTATGCTTAACAAAATACTCAAACCATTACATGACTTCAGGCATATTTCCACTTCTTTTCGGATAAATTCTGTGTTCAGATGATTTGAACAAGTAAATTGTTTTTTGGTTACATTCTTTTGAAGTAAATATGATGGTTTAATTTAGAGATTTCCTTGTTTTCATATGGTTCAGGTATCTGAGGAGCCATAAAAGTGGACTTGAGAGGCTTAGGTGCAGCAAAGTACTGCCAGTTCTTTATTTCGCTTTGTATCTGGTATTTGCAGAAGTAGAACTTTTCCAACAAGCACTCGAGTTGGAGAAGAGAAAAATAAAGAGCAAGTTTGTCCACCTATTATTGGTGTATGTAATTTGTATGAATTTTCTTTTCTTGTGGATTATCATCAAATCAGAATTCAGAATAAAGCAAATAAGTTGTTCTGCTACACCTTTTTCAGCTGGTTAATATAATTTTTCTTTTATGTTTTTATTTTTTAGAAAAAATAAGACAATTAAATCAATCCATTTAGTTCAAAAAATAAGCTAAGTAACATTCCCCCTTGATAAACTAGTTAGATAAAGTGACACCAATGACACCTGGGTGAACAAATTTTATAATATCTACGATGCTACTTAACTCACAAATATTAATAGTAGAAATTCAACATTGTCCATGTGCATGTTGAGATAGAACCATAACTGTCTCCTTGTTCTGAATATCACCACTGCACCAATGAATAATTCTACGTACCACCATTACCGTTGTCCTTTCATTCTTTGGTGTCATAAATTATTCGACAGATCAATGAAAAAACTTCATAAGGAATTTCTATAAGACGAAAATTTTAATCTAGGGAGATATAGCACACTCTCGTGCAAACAAATCATGTTTCAGAGAACTAAAGGAATATTTCAAGGCATGAGTAAAGATGATGAAAAGCATAATATCAATACCTGCACACAACTTTTAGCACATAATTAGAAACCGGAATAATTAAAACAACGCTCTTTCTTTGTTTTGATTCGGACAAGTAACAAATTGGTAAAAGCATTAGCATATGGCTTCAATTGAAAGGTACCTTCTCCCTTTCTCTGTTATTGGCTTTGTTGTTTTCACAGGTGACCTCCCTCATTCTATAAAATTCAACTTTGTATCAATCAGCTTCCTCGATTATATAGCTCAGCAACTCCTTCTCCCTCTTTTCCTTCTCCAATCGAATCGCATTTTCCCTAAGCAATTACAACAGTAAAAATGCCCGATATAGAATCACTGAATCCGATGAAATTCGCAACATCTCACACATTTTCATTAACAGAACAAAAACATTACCCAAAAAAATTGAATCTAAATTAAGAAAAAGAATTTTATAAATTTGAGGAAACAATTTTTTTAAAAATAATAGAAATTATAATTCCCAAATGTTCTCCGAATTCAATCTCTGAAAATGAAGAAATCCAAAGAAAAATAAAACCCTATAATATTTCCTTTTAATTACCGAATTGACCCATAAATTCTGAATATTTCCCTACTTAAAATCTAGTAACGTACTATGACTTTACTAAACATATTTAAAAAATTTCCAAAAATTAAAACTTTGTCACTAAATCTCTTTATTTCATATTTCTAAAATTGCTAAGTGCCAAACTAATAACTTTAATTTCTACTTTTTAATTTCCTCAAAAATTTCTCAGTAACCAAAAATAGGAACATCAAAAAACAAAATTATAAAAAAAATTTTCAAAAACCTTCTCCATTCCCTGAGAGCAACGCCTTCCTCGGGCTCCATCTCCTCCCGCGGAGGCAAAATGGTGGCATGGTCCGACTCGGAGGTCGCGAAAGAGTCGAATTGCTGAGACGGTTCGTAACCGGCGTAGCCGCTGTCTTCGTCTCCCTAGTGTGGAACTGAGTCGAAAGAGTGGACCGAGTGGTCGCCGAGTTGAGTGAACGAGTCGGGGAACATTGACATTCTTTTGTTTCTTCAAGATCTTGTACGGACACGTTAAAGATTTAATTTTTATTGAAAAAAAAAAAAACCAAAATGGCTATGGAAGTTGGAAGTCTGAGGTCTCTGTCTGAAGGAAGGCTAAAAGGAAAGGGATAACTCCTTGTTTGGGTTTGATCAATTTTTTGGGCCTTTATTTGGGTTTCAATTTATAATTTGGAGATCCATAAAACTGTAATAAATACTAAATATAGTTAATTAATATATCTGATTTTCTTGATTTAATTTATTTATAAAGAAATTTTGGACTCAATATTTCCTCTCTAATTATCTTATTTTCATTTTTTTTTTATAGGAGGTCACAACAGTTACATTAGGTAATCCATCGAATTGCAAAAGCAGCCAAGTTTCAAATTCCTCTGTTGCTGATTGAGTCAGAGTCTTACACGAGAGGACCATTGAGCTTAACACCATATAGAATATGTAGTCAGGTTTTCAGAAACATCAGATGAGATTGCCTGTCGGTTCTTCTGATATCCACAATGGCTTGGAGAACAGAAGCAGAAATGAACCTGTGATATGCTTTTTTGTCTGGAATGTGTTGTTGATTCAAGCAACTGGTTTAGTGTGACAGAATGTAGCCAATTTGCTAAAATGATAGAATACTGTTTTTTTACCAAAAGACAATTTCCAAATTCAGAAGCCTGACATTTATATTCAGGAGTTATTTTGCTTAAACATGATGTTGAAGTGGAGTAAAGCTCCTGTTCACGTTGCTGCTGTCATAACCTGAGTTTATGCGGTCCATTACTCTAGGAAATGGAGCTATCATGTTCCCTGGACGCATCACATATGCTTATCATTAAGCCTATTTTATGGAGGATTGCTGCCTTAGTTTTAAGTGTAATTATTTGTGGTGAAAATTAGAAAATAGGGCATTGTTAGTTAATTTTCTGTCTTTTAGATACTGTTGCTAAGTCATTGGAGAATTGCCTTAAAGAATACATGGCTCTATCAGTTTCAAGTTGTCTTAACTTGTATTAGTCCTTTTGCTCTCTTTTGGGGTGATAAAAAAGAGGATTCCATTTTCTGTTTTTTGGGAGTCAGTTATGTTCTTTCATGGAAAAGGTTAACAAGAACTGGTTGTATGTAAATTCATAGTTCATATATTAAAATAGAAAATTTTAAGATTTAGATGACATGTTAAATATTTTTCTTTCTCCTGAGAATCTCTAGCAATTATATTGTAGCCTACAAGTTATGTGATTAAAAAATTTAGCTTCTGATCAATAACTTGTCCAACAAACAAAAAGGCATTCAATTCCAAGCTAAACAACTAAACTGCAAAACATGTAGGGAGTTGATTTCAGAATAAAAAAGAATCAGACACCTTCTATTTTATTGGTTTGTATTTTCAACTTTCATTTCCATTTTTCCTACTATCAATATCAAATGCTCTTATAATTTGACCCAAAAAAAAACAATATATATATATATATATATCATCTATATATAAAAGCATGAACTTTAAAAATGTTAAAAGCAAATGACATAAATACTTTTATAAATTTTAAGAAATAACAAATTTACCTTTAAATTTCTAGTATTTTTTATTTATGTAATAAAGATTATTTGCCATAAATATATAACTTTTATTAGTTATTTACTTAAATTTAAATCTAAAAGTGTTAAAAATGAATAACATAAATACCCTTATAAATGTCAAAAAATAACAAATTTATATTTCAATTTCTAGCATTTTTTATTTATTTAATAAAGATTATTTGTCATTAAATATATAGCTTTTATTTATTTAAATTTAAATCAATTAAAAATTTACAAATAAAATTTATATTAAATTAAACTACATTGAAAATTTATTTGTGGGATATAATGGATCTATTGTCCAAAATTAACTCAAATTTACTCTCATCTTTATTTATTGTTTCAATTAAGGTGAACAATTCTTATGGCAATTTTGCAAGCATCAATCCTAAGCTATTGGTAACTTCGCCATCTCCAAAATTATCTAATTTTACATGTAAAAAGTCTAATTAAAGCGTTGAATGAATCACATAATGCTAATGTTGGTGAAGGAAGTGCAATTGATTTGCAATTGATTTAATATTAGTTTTTGTTAATGAGAATAACAATTATAAAATTTTAAATAAAAAAATACAGAAAAAAATTAATTAAAAGGTCAAACTAAAGTACAAGAATGATATATTAAAAAATTATTTTAAATAACTAAAAAAATTTACTTATGTTATTAATGATCAAATGATCAACTCATAAAACATATAAATAATAAAATTATTATCACACATATGTAGTTAATATATTAAAACAAAAAATTAAAAGAAAAAATAGAAAAAAAAAAACAAATATGCTTAAATTACTTACTTATGATTATTTTTAATAAATTTATTTATTAATATAAATTGTTTATACAATTGTTTTTATAACAACTAAAGAAACAAACTTTATATAATTGTTTTATTCCTATGCACATTAACTTTTCATATCATTCTATTTGTCTTTTCATTTGATGTGAATAATCATTTTACTTATAAAAAAAGGAGTTTAACAATAAAAATAAAGTCATTTAAATTAAATTTTATAAAAAATTACTAATGATATTTTAATCAATCACTTTTAATATTTTTGGGATTAAAATTTTATTAGGGGTTTAGTCAATCATTTTAACATTTTTTAGTCTAATTATAAAAAAAGAGTCTAATAATAAAAAATTTCATTTAAATTAAAATTTATAAAAAAAATTACCAAATATATTTTTGTCCATCGCTTTCAACACTTTTAGAATTAATATTTTAAAAGTTTAAGTAATTTGTTTGAAGAAAATATATCTAGTATGCCTATGCCCAAGTTTAAGATTCCGTTATTTGATGGAAATAGTAATTTTATGTTAGAGCAAAGTACGATTTAAAATTTGTTAGTACAATAATGATTGAATCAAGCATTAAAAAATAGTAAGTCTAAGAAAATATCTAACAGTAATTAGAATATAATTCAAAAGAAAGCTATTAATACTATTAGATTGACGTTAGCCTCAGAGGTAAAGTACAATATGTTAATTGAAAGTATTCCGAAGAGCTTGTGGGATAAGCTTGAGGGTATTTATGCATCGAAGTCATTGATTAATAGATTATATTTAAAGATAGATCTGTATTCTCTGAAGATGGAAGAAGGTGTGAGTCTTCATAATTACCTAAATGAATTTAATAGGTTAGTTTCTTAATTGCTGGTGATTTCTGTTGATGAGTTAGAAGATGAAGAAAAGGCTTTAATTTTGTTGTCATCTTTGCCTAAGTCCTATAGACTATTAGTTTAAACTTTGTTGGTGAGTAAGTCTACTTTAAAATTGACTGATGTGACTGTCATGTTGTGTGAAAACAAAAGTTTTATGAGAACATAGACTCATCACTTGGAAAGAGTACGAACTCTAAAAGTATTAAAAGTGAATGACATAAATACTCTTATAAATTTTAAGAAATAACAAATT